CACACCATGTAAACATTCACAGTGCAGGGTGGAACAAGTATGTGAACCCCTAGGCGAAAGACTTCTTCAAGAGCTAATTGGAGTCAGGAGTCAGCCAACCTGGAGTCCAATCAATGAGACGAGATTGGAGGTGTTGGTTAAAGCTGCCCTGCCCTATAAAAAATACACACCAGTTTTGAATTTGCTATTCTTAAGAAGCATTGCCAGATGTGAACCATGCCTCGCACAAAAGAGCTCTCAGAAGACCTACGATTAAGAATAGTTGACTTGCATAAAGCTGGAAAGGGTTACAAAAGTATCTCTGAAAGTCCACGGTAAGACAAGTTGTCTATAAATGGAGAAAGTTCAGCACTGTTGCTACTCTCCCTAGGAGTGGCCGTCCTGTAAAGATGACTGCAAGAGCACAGCGCAGAATGCTCAATGAGGTGAAGAAGAATCCTAGAGTGTCAGCTAGAGACTTAAAAAAATCTCTGGCACATGCTAACATCTCTGTTGACGAATCTACGATACGTAAAACACTGAACAAGAATGGAGTTCATGGGAGGACACCACGGAGGAAGCCACTGCTGTCCAGAAAAAACATTGCTGCACGTTTGAAGTTTGCAAAAGAGCACCTGGATGTTCCACAGCACGACTGGCAAAATATTCTGTGGACAGATGAAACCAAAGTTGAGTTGTTTGGAAGGAACACACAACGCGGGAGTATGGGGTGAGGGGGTCTCTACTCAGGGCCATCCAATCTCTGTACTCCCAAAGCGAGAGCTGTGTCCGGGTCCTCGGCAGTAAGTCGGACCCATTTCCGGTGAGGGTTGGCCTCCGCCAGGGCTGCGCTTTGTCACCAATCCTGTTTGTAATATACATGGATCGGATTTCGAGGCGTAGTCATGGGGGAGGGGGTCTGCAGTTCGGTGGACTAAGGATTGCACCACTGCTTTTTGCAGATGATGTGGTTCTAATGGCTTCATCGGTCTGCGACCTTCAGCACTCACTGGATCGGTTCGCAACCGAGTGTGAAGCGGCTGGGATGAGGATCAGCACCTCCAAATCTGAGGCCATGGTTCTCAGCAGGAAACCGATGGACTGTCCACTCCAGGTAGGGAATGAGTCCTTACCCCAAGTGAAGGAGTTCAAGTATCTCGGGGTCTTGTTCTCGAGTGAGGGAACAATGGAGCGTGAGATGGGCCGGAGAATCGGAGCAGCGGGAGCAGTACTGCAGTCGCTTTACCGCACCGTTGTGACGAAAAGGGAGCTGAGCCAGAAGGCAAAGCTCTCAGTCTTCCGGGCCATTTTCGTTCCTACCCTCACCTATGGTCATGAAGGATGGGTCATGACCGAAAGAACGAGATCGCGGATACAAGCGGCCGAGATGGGTTTTCTCCGCAGGGTGGCTGGTGTCTCCCTTAGGGATAAGGTGAGAAGTTCGGTCATCAGGGAGGGACTCGGAGTTGAGCCGCTCCTCCTTCGCGTCGAAAGGAGCCAGTTGAGGTGGTTCGGGCACCTAGTTAGGATGCCACCTGGGCGCCTCCCTAGGGAGGTGTTCCAGGCACGTCCAGCTGGGAAGAGACCAAGGGGTAGACCTAGGACCAGGTGGAGGGATTATATCTCTTCGCTGGCCTGGGAGCGCCTTGGGATCCCCCAGTCAGAGCTGGTTGATGTCGCCAGGGAAAAGAAAGTTTGGGGCTCTCTGCTGGAACTGCTACCCCCGCGACCCGACCACGGATAAGCGGGAGAAGATGGATGGATGGAAACAACGCTATGTGTGGAGAATCCAAAGGGTTCAATACTTTTTCTTGCAACTGTATGTATACAATACATAATATAATAGATACAAGTAGAAATTAGGGCTGCACGATTTTGGGAAAAAATCTAATTGCGATTTTTCTGACAAATATTGCGATTGCGATATTTGCTTTTTAGCGACTCAACGGAGGTTTTTTGTAAAATGCGGCCATAACTCCGGCTAGGAAGGTCGTATCAATGTACTCCCGTCTCTAGCACCCCCGCAGCCCGAGCTACGAGTGAAAGAACTAAACTTACATGAAACTTCCGTTGGGTTGCTTTAAAGTCAAGCTTCAGTTTAAGATTCACCCTGTAATAGATGTAAAACATGTGATGGCTCAGATGGTTTGTTTCACCAAACCATCTAGGAGAACTCCATTGGAAGCCATTTGGAAAGGGCAGGCACTTTCAAAAACACTTGGCAGGTGATTGGATCAATCTGTCTATCACCTTCTATCATGGGCCAATTCTGATTGGTTAACAATGGCTGGTACATGTGGAGCACAGCACTTCTGATTGGTGTGGATGACTGACACACAAGAAGTAAAAAAAAAACAAAATAAGTTAAAAAAAATCGCAGGCTTTGCGATTTGATAATCGCATCATTTCAAATCGCGATTAATCGTTCAGCCCTAGTAGAAATATATTTGGAGGGGTAATCTTTGGTATGATAATAACTTCCGTTTTCTCTTTCTTTTCTTAAATATCCAGGATCTTGTACCTCTCCCTCCGCCGCCCCACCAGCTCCTCCTCAGCCCGGTGCCACATCCCTCGCTCCCCAATCTCAACCGCCGCTTCCTGACAGCCCACCACCTCCTCCACCTTCCAGCCAGCCTCCGCCCCCCCCTCTCCCCCCAGGCTCACCACCTCCACCCCCTCCCCCTCCTGACAGCGATGAAGAGATCATGGAGGTGGAGATGGAAATGGATGACGATGATGACGGGGAGCCGCCAGCTCCCGGAACGGAGCTAGATGGCAGCGGCAGGCCTCCTTTACCTCCAGGCACTGCCAGTATGAAGGTACGGAAGTAATCAAGTTTCGTCTTTAGTTGGTGAACTCTTGGTAATGTTCACCTACAAAATTCTAATAAAACTTTAACTCTTATTATATTTCTTGTCACACAGATTCTGGAGTCGTCTGGGCCCTATGGGAAGGGTCAGAAACGTAAAGCCGGTCAGATGAATAAAGCCATCACTATTGGCAGCAATGCTATTCTCTACACCCAGCCTGCCTTCAGTGCAGGTAAAACATATCCCTACTAACCATCTGCAGTTACAGTTAGTGTGAATCATAATGGCACAAATAAACGTGTGCCTAAACAGCATTATTACTCATCCCCTGAAACAAGACTAGAGTCCAATCTCATTGTCTTTAACCCTTTGTATATCGGTCACTTGTTAAAACTTTGGAGCTCTTACCATTTTTTTGTTTGTATATATAAATAGTAGATCTTTTTGTAATGTTTTTCTTACTATGCGATTCACCAATACATCTAGCAAACAACTTGTGTGGGAAAAGCTTCTTGGTAATAAACTAGGTTTATAATTCTGTTTTGTCATACTTTCTTTTTGTGAGCACAACAGTGTCACACCTCAATAAGTCAGTGTTTAAATTCAAAGTGTAATTGCAATACTTTCAGGTGTTTACTTAATACAGTTTTCTCTTTTTCTGCAGCCCCTTTAATGTCTGCTGCTGCCTACTGGGGCGTACCGGCTGTCCCTGCTCCATTGGTCCCTTGTGAACCTCCGGCCCCCCCCCTCCCTGCTCTACCTCCTCAGCCCCCACTGCCCCCCTCCCAGCCGCCCTCTGAACCTCCTGCAGCCAAAGCTCTGCCCACAGACAAGACCAAGAAAGTAAAAAAGGAAAAGGTTAGTATTGCAGTTAACATTTTACATGGAGGGCAGTAAATACAATTCCCCAATATTTTGAGGATTATTTTGTTCTATTAACATTCTGTATTGGTTTTCTTTGCATGTAAAGTTTACACAGGCAAGCCATCCTTTCAATCCATTGCTTAAATATTACATACAAAACAACCAATTCTGTGATTTTTCTTACTATCTATAGACAAAAAAGAGTAAGATCAAAATGCCATCTCTGGTGAAGAAGTGGCAGAGCATCCAGAAAGAGTTGGATGAAGAAGAAAAGAGTAGCTCCAGTGATGAGGACAGAGATCAGCTGAACAAAAGGGGTATCGAGGACTGGAAGGTCCAGCAGCTCATGACGTAAGTTTGTTTTAAGTATACTTTTTTTTATAGTTGTGAAGATGTAGCTGAACTGTTCTATTGAGTTATCCTTGTTTCTTTTGATATTTGACATGTTTCATCTTGCTAACTCTTCATTACCTGTGTTAATCCTACAGGGGAAAAGCTTCTAAGAATGCCAACTTTGAGTCACTTCCAGATAACTGGCGGGACCGACTAAAGAAACGGAAGACGACGAATAAGACGTAACACCCACGCTGGGTCATACACTGCCCATTCAGCCTTTCTCTTTCTTTTTTTGTTTATCCACTACAACCATTACTTAAAGGTCATTCTACCCCATATTATGTTTTGTGAAATGATCTATTGACTTTCTTTATCATTTGTTCTTGTTTATGATGGAGACATTTAGAGGCCATTCTCCAGAGGGGTTTGAATGTCTTTGTCTTGGTTTGTAGTCACTATTGTAAACGTGCCAAAAGTTTTGAGTTCATCGAAAACAATTTTTTGTATAGACCCCACAAAGATGACCACAGTTTTTTTTGGAGGGATTGTCTATTTTATTGAGCATTTTTACAACTCTGTACATATGTATTATGGGAGAAGTTCCATGTTTTTGGAAGGGCAGGAGGGGTCACTGAACTTGTACATTTTGTAAAAAGTTAATAAACTGTTTTTCCAAAGCCACTTATTTTTCTTTGGCTTTCATGTGTTTTATTCCTTATGACTTAAAAACAACCAACTAGTTATTTTTTCATACTTTGTTTTTTAAAGTCCTGAATAAAAATGAATAGAACAATTGTGAATAACCTACATGGCGTTAATTCATCTCTTATAATAAACAGGATAACACTGTAATACACTTCCGTCGATAGAGAGATATACATTTTGAGGATTTGTGAGGAATAGTTTCCTACCCATTTATTTGCGCCACTGCTTCTCGTCTCCATGGCAACAGCAGTGTTGTTGAGAGGACCTGTTGCATGGAAACATTGCGTACTTCTGGAAAGAGGCTTCCACTCCTGCTAGCCGCTATGCTTTCGCTCTTATCTTGTGTCTATAAAAGGAAGTTAAGCTTGTGTATTTGAAATGTAAGCTAGGTAAGTGTCTGCCACTCATTGATAACATTTCAGAGAGCTGAGATATGCTATCTATTAATTGACGTAGCTAAAGAAAATGTTAGCAACTACAAAACAATGTTTACGCGCGTGTCACTATTCATGAGTGTGGAAGTGGCGACCAAGCATCTGTAGTTAACATGCGGAATTCATGCATACAAAAAACAGAAAGTAAGGTAGTAGCGTTAACGCCATGTAACGGGATAAGGAAGACTTTTATTCCGGCATTTTACTTCGAGCAGAAAGGCAACAGACGATGTGAGAAATCCACTCAGCATCTCTCATGTGAGTTTGATATCTCCGTGAATTCGCTCAGAAAAAGTGATGCTATTAAACAATTGTACACGTGCTTGCTGAAGTTATAGCCTACTATACAGGGATTTGTACGGTATCAACACATGTTTAATAGTTCAACTTCAGGAACTCTTCAATATCAGCTTAAAAATGTCAGTCCATATTTTAACATTACTAAGTGGTAATTTAGCAACACATCCATCCTACTATTAGTTGGGTGGATGTGTTGTCAAATTGTGACCTACATTTAGTATGCTTCTAAAGTTTTTACATCATAAAATGTCTGAAAAGCTTAATATAATGGATTTCTAGCATTTGTAAGAAGACTAAAATGTGTTCTAGCTGATATTCTATGACAAAATGCCATTTTGGCATTGGCTTCAAAACATCTCTATTGGTTCATGATAATATAATTCATATTTTTAATATCTATCTATCTCAGAGGAGATTGGCAATAGTTGACTTTGATCCTGACAAGCCTGTTTCGATGTAGTGGCCAGGACAATGTGTTCTTACTCAGTTTGGTAACTAATACGGAACATTCATGACTTACATTTTTTCAGTCTGGCAGAGAAAAGACCAACCATGGCCGTCTCTGCCATCAGGAATTGGTGGAATACCCACCAGTTGGACAAATCTGACACCAATGACTCCAACACAGAAGAAGACGAGGAGGAATTAACAGGGAGGAGGCAGTGTAAGTTATTTTCATAAACGCTGCATTTGGATACATGCTATGTGCACTGGGTTTTCCTGTTAGAAAGGAGATGTTGTCAAACTTGTATGTATTGCATCCCTTCCCCAAGGCTAAACCATTATATATTAAACAAGCTCTTTCACGACTTGAGATAATGAAAGCATTCAGGTGGTGCATAATCCCTTCTTAAATGAACAAGCTTGTGTGGTCTAGGTGAGGTAAGGACCCATAGGGGCAGACCTAATGAAAAATGTATACCCATAGTGCACCACTGGCAGAGAATGAGTGGAATTGAAGGTGTGATTCATGTCTCCTCTCAGTAACTATAAACTTAAGTCAGACTCTGCGGACTAGGCAGCTGCTCGTAGACTTTGATGGCGGCCGGCCTGTTTTGAGTCTCAGGGCACCGCTGGACCTGGTTAGCTTCCCATCCATCTCCTGCCCCCGGTGGCCCATAGAGTGTGAGGTCATCAATGACATCATCCAACACATAGGTAATACAACATTTGATTGAAACCATTATGTTACTAGGCATGTTACATTGATAGAATGTAACCCGGAATATTTACCCAACCACAATTTCAAGGTAAGGGTACTTGAAGGGGGGTTTCACATTTCATTGTATGCAACTTAATAACACTACATCTCTAAGTCCGATGTGTCCATGTCCTTTTTACTCTGCGATATTTTCGCACAGCTTTAGTTACTTTTCATATTATATTTTTCCATTCCCTCCCTGTCCAGGGAAACCCATCCATCTCCAATTTGGTGATTAAGAATCTGAATGTTTCGGATAAATTGAAGGACTTTTAATAATAAGCCGTAATATGAAAACAACATAAACTATTCAATTAGTAAAACACTGAAAGGGAACATTTAGCTGCATTATAAATAATTGTCATGCTTTAAAACATTTCCGATTATACGATTAAACGTATCTTACTTTTGGTTTTGAATGCAGAACCTTTACTCGTAATAGATTATGTGCATCCAAAGTGCTAGTGATGACTTGTGTGCAGAATCATCTGGTACACAATACCAGTCTTGGGTAAAAAAAACTTTAAAAAATCAGGAAGTTAAACACAGTGTAAAACATGGCATGTCCTATTGCTGTTTGTGTTACACTTATTAACACCAAGGGAGTGTGTGTTGTAGAGTGGGACCCCCCAGAGCCAGAGCCTTTCTACAAGGCCACAGGACATGAGAGGACCCCCATACCAGCAGGAGATGAGAGGGGCAAAGTGGTGTACTGCATTGACCATGGTAACTAAGGCTTTTTTTTGTACCACCAGGTTACATGGTGTGTTGTGTCGTCACAGTGGTGCCAACACTTAATGCTTAACACAGTAATAATGACAAAAAACCTAATTGAGTTACTTCGTTCTACCTATTCCCCTCGGAGAGTAGATGATCTGTTTCAATTTAAAGGCCTTTTATGGCAAATAATGGAATACTTGTGAGTGACAACCTAATTCCTTAGTGCTTTAAGATTTGCACTGATATTACATTTTAAGTGCTATATAACAATCCCCAAGTGTTGTTACAGTTTAATATGGGGAGAATTGTGTTGGGCCTTTAGCTTAAGTGTTTCTGCTCAGCAGTGTTACAAAAGGTTTATCCTTTATTAGTTACAGTGCAGGGATATGTACAGTGTTACAGTAGGAAAAGGGATAGTGCAAATCAAAGAAGCATCAGTCAAATCTAATAAATAACCAAGTTAACAATTTAAAACTAAATATAGTAAGTAGAGAGACTGAACAGTTGTGTTATCGTAGATAATAACAGAGAAATCATTTTCTGGATAAACAATGTAACCCTCTACTGCTCTCTGAAAAACAATGCAAGTCCATCCATGCTTTTGATATGAACTTTTTCTTTTTTTTCTTTCCCTTTAAAAAGCCACCAAGCGTCCCTTCTTCTCCTGCTCCCGTGTCGGAGGAAACAGGGGGCCCATTAAGAGCGCCACTTCATATGACAATCAGACAGACTTCACCCTTGAGTTTGAGTCACGCTTTGAGAGTGGAAACCTCCAGAAGGCGGTGCAAGTGTGAGTCTCCGCAGCTTCATCTACTGATTAGCAGCTTTTTAACCATTACTGTATTTGTAAGTTATCACTGTGGTTCTAGCTTAATGTATACTCTTTCTCTCTGTTCCCCCCCACATCTATTCTTCCCTGTGCAGGGGAGTCTATGACTATGAGCTCACCCTGCACACAGACTTGTACACCAGGAAGCACACGCAGTGGTTTTACTTCAGGGTCAGGAACATGAAGGCTGGAGTGCCATACCGCTTCACTATCGTCAACTTGATGAAGAGCAGCAGCCTGTATGTTCAGGGTATGAGACCACTCCTCTACTCAGAGAGGGCCGCCAAAGAGAAAGGTGTTGGATGGCAACGCACCGGCGCCAATATCAGATACTACCGCAACTGCCAGCAGGTAGAGGAAGTGAGTTTTAAAAATCAAAAAAGGCGTCAAGACTGGATTTTTATTAAATAAACCCATTCTCTACTAGCTGTGATTTCCGTTTATGAGTTAAGAATGAATATATTTTATTCAGCTTTTATGTTTTATTTTAAAGTTGTGTTTTCAATACATGAAAATCCAATGAATGAGTCTTCCACCCATTACCAAGAGAACAAAATGAGAAAAAATCAACTGAAATTCATATTAAATTGCCCCAACCAGTGATACATCTGTGTTGGTGTTTCCCATCAAAATAATAATATAAATGCTCTGACTCCCCAGTAAAGTGTCATAAATGAACAAACACCGAAAGTAGAAGATTCAAACTAAAAGGAATTGTAAGATAGAAACAGTGAAGGAAAAAGGGACGGTGTTACTGCCTCGTCATCATATAAACTGAAGCAAAATATTATATTAATATTAATTAACTGCTCCTGTGGGTATTGTCCACAGTATTGAATGTATTACATGTCTAATAAGTAACATGAAATATAATGTTAAAGAACATTGTAAATCGTTTTTTGTACTTAGGATATGCATGTGCAAATGTTTGGCTAAAAAATGTACCTATAAGGGTTTGTGAAAGTAAATGTAGAAACCTCTTTTGTCTATCCGACATAACGCACATCAGAACAGAATGACAATTGTAATTATTTCTGAAAAAGAGGGACCTTTCTTTAAAACCACCTTATCTGTCTCATTTTAATACAAAGGACAACAACAGTGACACGCCCCCCCTGTTCTCACTCACCTGGACTCTCCAGTTCCCTTCTGACTCTGACACCTGCTACTTGGCCCACTGCTACCCCTACACCTACTCCCACCTGCAGCGCTACCTGAGGCGCGTCTCTTCCAACCCAGCCTTCGCGTCATACTGTTCACTGAGGGTGCTGTGCCACAGCCTCGCTGGAAATGCTGTGTATGTGGTGACGATAACGTCCCGGGCGGGCAGCAGGGTGGAGGGTAGGACTAAGAAGGCCGTGGTGGTGACGGCCCGAGTGCACCCTGGAGAAACCAACGGGTCCTGGATGATGGAGGGGTTCCTAGACTTCCTGCTCGGGGACTCAGAGGATGCTCAGCTACTCAGGGACACTTTTGTTTTTAAGGTGAGGGACTTAAAGCTCCTTCCCTCACATCTCTCTTTATATCATCATTATGACTTCAATATTAAGTCATTTGTGATATTTCCAAACAGTAATTGTATAAAGTTGGATTAATTAAGATAAGATAAGAAGTACTTTAGTGATCCCAATTTGGGAAATGTTTGCGTTGCAGCAGCATAAAAAGACATGGCATTGTACATTGGAGAAATTAAAAGACTAGAAATAAACAATCCAAAATGTAAACATCTCAAATAGAAATAAGATAGCATTAAAAAAGTAAAAAATATACATGTGGAAATACAAATGTACAGTAACAAAACATAAAGCAGATATTTAATATAATTGATATCAGGATGCTATAATTGATAAGTCTTGTGATTTGTTTAAATGCTGTAATGCTATCCAAATAGCTTTTTCCTCATTGTTTTTGTGGTGCTGCAGGTGGTGCCGATGCTGAACCCAGATGGTGTGATCGTGGGTAATTACCGCTGCTCTCTGGCAGGCAGGGACCTGAACAGAAACTACAAGACACTGCTCAGGGACTCCTTCCCCTGTGTGTGGCACACCCTAAACATGGTGGAAAGGTAGCACAGAACACATGCATGAACAAAACACATTTAAACACACACTCAGAATCAAGTTTATTGCCAGGTGCGTTTACACATACAAGGCATTTGATTTGGTATCTGGTTGTGCGAACATAAACAATCTAAGAACATAAGTTGCAATAGTAAGTAAAAAAAGTTTCGCATTAAAAAGGAATACTAAAGACAAGTATTTACAACAAATTTAAATACACAAAGAACCTTAAAAGCTAATAAACAAAAACACTTAGTACAATGAACATATGGCAAACTACAGTGGATTATATTTTCCTACATAGAAAACATCTTGTATTGCATGTAGATGTACAATGTGTTCTCATCAGTCTTTAGCTTTATGTCAAAGTCAACTTTAATGTCAATCTTACTCAGTTTGTGTTTACAGACAGAGAGATCGAAATGACGTTTCCAACAATCCCGAATGTAAAATGATACAGTGTACAGATATGTATAAAATATGTATATCCTATATACACAATGAACCGACACATTTACACATATGCACACATTAAGATAAAAAAAACACAACAATCAATATATACAAAATAACAGTCACTTCAATATCAATATCTTTGGTGCAAGATTGTCCATAAAATGTGCATTTATTAAAGATTGTCCGTAGCAGCATAAAAAACAAACAATTTTGTCCAGTAGGGGAGAGAGGGGAGAGAGGGGAGAGAGGGGAGAGAGGGGAGGGAGTTCAGCCTCCTGACAGCCTGGTGTAAATAACTGTTCTCTAGTTGTGCTCGACCTCAGGCTGCGGAACCTCCTCCCTGAAGGCATGAGGGTGAAGAGGCAGTTGGAGGGATGGGTGGGTGGGGTCACCCAAAAGTCTGAGTGCTCTGCGGGTGTTCTAAATGTCCAGGAGTGATGGGAGTGAGGCACCGATGATCCTCTCAGCGGTGTTCACCACGCCCTGCAGGGTCTTGCGGTTCAATGCTGTGCAGCTTCCGAACCACACCGTGATGAGGATGCTCTCGATGCTGAGGATGCTCTCGATGGCGCCTCGGTAGAAGGAGAGCATGATGGGGGGGAAGCTCCTGCTCTCTTCAGTTTGCGGACGAAGTAGAGGCGCTGCCGGGCTTTCTTGGTGATTGACGTGGTGTTGTTACTCCAGTAGAGGTCCTCGGTGATGTGGACCCCCAATAATTAGGTGCTGCTCACCTGTTCCACAGCAGTACCACCGATGGTCAATGGGTTGGGTGTAGGTTCTCCTGAAGTCGACAACAATCTCCTTTGTTTTCTCCACATTGAGAAAGAGATTGTTGAAGTCCAGCAGCCAATTGCAGAGAAAGGGGCCGAAGCCCAGGTTTGTTAGCTTGCAAACCAGCTGCTGGGAGATGATAGTGTTGAACGCTGAGCTAAAGTCTATGAACAGCATCCTAACATAAGAGTTTTTAGTGTCCAGGTGGGTGAGCGCTGGATGAAGAGCAGAGGAGATGGCATCCTCAGTGGACTGTGCATGTTTATCCAGTAAATTGCAAAAAATGTGCACGTCGTATTTATAATTATTTGTTTTTAGGATACAACACATCATTCTTTAGCTGTTCTGCTTGTGTCAGCGAGCAGCCAGTTTGTGTTGAGTAGGGATTAAGACTCTCACAGATTACGACCCAAGTGAACATTTTCACACAAAAATAAACAAAAAATGTAATTCACTGCACGACTTGCAATGAACAGCGATTGTGGTATTTAGTCTGCATTTACTTGCTGACTTTATTGCATAAAGCAGTCCAGTTATAAAATGATATCACTGCATTCACTTTTACTGGATTTTTATCTATACCAAAATGGCCGTTTCCTTTATACTAGATCAAATATATCTGCTTCAATTCATTGCTGTAAGGTTAAGAAACAGGAGGGATAGATGTAAAAGATAAGCAGTCTCATTCTAAATGACCCGCCTTTGATACATACAATGCATTAGTGTAGTTCTGTGAAATCAAACTTGTTTTTTTATTAGAAAGAACAATATTTTTAAAGGCTTCCATCCAAACATGGCTCATCCTCTATTTGCACGTTTCCTACTTCTCTTATACAGGCTGATGGCTGAGATGGATGTCGTTCTTTACTGTGACTTTCATGGACACAACCGTAAAAACAATGTCTTTATGTACGGATGTAACAACCGAGGTGACGCCTCGCTGAAGCTTCATGAGAGACTCTTTCCACTGATGATGAGCAAGAATGCCGGTGATAAGGTTAGGAACTGTTTTTCAAAAACTCTTTGTAACATATATGTAGTCCGAGTCACATTGGGCTTGTATTTATATCATGACACCATGGTTATTAGTATAAATAAAAACTATAACGTCAGTTTATTTAACATTTCTTTAACATCTTGATCACTCTTTTCATCAGTTCTCTTTTAAGAGTTGTAAGTTTCGGGTTCAGAAGAGCAAAGAGGGAACCGGACGAATCGCCATGTGGAGACTCGGCATCAAAAACAGCTACACCATGGAGGCCACCTTCGGAGGCTCCACTCTGGGTGAGTTTCCAAGTGTGAGTGTGTGTGTGTATTTTCCTATGTATCTTGTATTTGGATCTTTCATGTGTTTTAATGTTAGGCGACAGGAGAGGAACACATTTTACTACTCAAGACCTGAAGTCCCTCGGCTTCTACTTTTGTGACACCCTGCTGGACTACTGTGACCCAGATCCAACAAAGGTGAGGGATAACGCAGCATGTCCACAGCTTAGAAATTATGTTAGCCTTCTCTGTGTAGTCAAACAACATGATGCTTCAAAATATACCTTGATATTGTTTTTCAAAGCTGGAATTGTGTATCTATGTGCCCGGTTGGTCCCAGCACTTAAGCTTAGGCTGCCCCTAAGTCTTTAAGGATGCCTTCGAAAAAAAATGAGTTGCATAAAATCCCTTTCATCCTTTGCCTTAGCTACTTAAGTAGTTTATGCAACCAGGCACTGCTTTTTAAATGTGACCATTGTGTGTGTGTGTGTGTGTGTGTGTGTGTGTGTGTGTGTGTGTGTGTGTGTGTGTGTGTGTGTGTGTGTGTGTGTGTGTGTGTGTGTGTGTGTGTGTGTGTGTGTGTGTGTGTGTGTGTGTGTGTGTGTGTGTGTGTGTGTGTGTGTGTGTGTGTGTGTGTGTAGCTGTCTTTTGTGTTATCCCTGTGCTTTTTTCTTCAGACCACTTACTGTCTGTCAGAGCTGGCAGCGTTGTTTAAGAAGCAGGTCAGCGAGAGGCTGGGCAAAGATCTGGGCACTGAATGTAACTTTTCTGTGTCTGACCTGGAAAGCAGGTGATTTTTTTATAAAATATGCATAACTTGGACAAAATATGATATGTATAACTGTGCTCTCAATCAGCTTAATAAGACTGTTATTTGTTTGTTTGCTTTCACAGCACCAGTGGTTCAAATAGTTCTGATTCCGACGGACTCCCAGCTCATTTGATGAACCATACAGAGGTTCGCTGACATACATCTACTCTTCCATGAAGTATTGTTTTATACAGTTGTTTAATGTCCTTGTAAAGCTTGTATTACATTTGGATCCCTTTGTGAAATGGGCCTTGAATCATGTTCTTCTCTTGTATTACTTTACCTCATGCTGCTTCTCTATTCCTCAGCAGACTCCAGTGAAGAAGAAAAATAAACGCTTGAGGAGTTGTAAAGAGAGGAACAGGCTGCGACCAGAGGAAGGGAGGAGTAAAGAACAGGCCAAAGTTCTGCAATGCAGCACAACCAATATTGTATGTATACTAATATTGTGATATACTAAATAATGCATCATTTATTTCACACTTTAGTGTGGTTAACAAGAGTAACGGTCTTTGCAGGGTTCCAACCTGCCACGAGAGGGCACTGTTAAAGAGGAGAGGCCTGTTGGAAGACACAGGAAAACATGGCAGGTATGAAGCAGGTCAATACTACAACGGAAATTAAATAATAAAAGGCAGTGAAACAATGTTGGTTTAACAGAAACTAAACTAAGAGCGCTAAAACTAAATTGAATAAATATTGCCTGTTTAAATGTTTTGGGAAAAATCATTATTTGTATTATAAGAAAATAAACAGCTAGTCAACTCGACCTTTGCATGCAGAAAAACAACTTTAAAAATACTTAAATATTCTAGTAAGATCAAATGACATTTAACCAAGCTTGTTTAGCTCAACTGGGGTCTGAATGGAGATACAGGTGACTAGTTCCAAAGATTTCAACATTATAATCTTTCCTACACAGTTACAAACTATAGCTTCATACTTCTGAGACATTATAGCTAGCCCTTATAGGACAAATAAATATACAACAACTAGATCTCTCTGAAATCTGATCGTATTCTGAAAATGTCCTCATGATTACATTGCAAAGTCGCAACTCGATTTTGACAGGATAACAACTGGTGACTTCTAGAATTGTGTGAGTAACATTCTGTTTTTAGACTTCTCTGTTTCAGTGTGTGTACTCTGTATACATGCTCTGTAGTTGATCTGATTGAAATTGTGATTTTAAATCTCAAAACCGCTACAGTATCTGTCAGGCAGAAACTTGGGACAACTCATTTGATAGAAACCCTAAAACTGAAGTAACTGACTGCTAGTGTTAACTTTGATTTAAACATTTGTAGAATACTAAGAGCTTTATTGAGTAGGTGTAACTGTATTAAGTGTTAAACTCATAACTTTATAACTTAGGGTTTAATGTAATTATAAAACCATTGGGCCACTGAAAAGACAATAACAACTCAGGAGGGAGCCAGTCTAGATTTCCTTTTGAGGGCCACCAGCTGCAGAGAGTTAACTAATTAAAGGGGCGTGGCCCCACAGCAGTGAGAACTCAGCAATCAGGTGTCCATTTTACATAGCACTTTCCTGGAGCGTCAGCTTCAGACGAAGACTGACAAAGACAAAGACAAAGGAGTCCTGCTCGAGTCAAAGACTGACAAAGACAAAGGAGTCCTGCTGGAGTCACGAGGGAGGCAAATCCTACTTTGATTGAGCCAAGTATCGCTGGTGTTTTATTTAATTTAATTTAGTTTTTTAGCCCCTCGTGCTATAATCATGTGTATTTTCTCCATTCCTGTTTATGTGTCTTCTCGCAATTATCACTGGCCCCGTGTTTCTCCTAATCGATATAACCGGCCTGCTCTCGTCTATCCCACATGCTCCACTGAGATCCAACATCTAGTTCCTTCTGGACCTGTCTGCTGCATTCGACACGGTGAATCATCAGATCCTCCTTCGCACTCTCCAAGAACTTGGAGTTTCAGGCTCTGCACTTTCCCTCCTCACCTCATACCTCAAAGACCGCACCTACAGGGTAACTTGGAGAGGGTCCGAGTCCGACCCTTGTCAATTAACTACAGGGGTCCCTCAGGGCTCTGTTCTTGGTCCCCTCCTCTTCTCCCTGTACACAAACTCGCTCGGATCTGTCATTAGCCCGCATGGTTTTTCATACCACTGCTACGCTGACGACACCCAATTCATTCTGTCCTTTCCCCGCTCTCTCAGTGGATGTCTGCTCACCACCTCAAGCTCAACCCTGACAAGACTGAACTGCTTTTCTGTCCGGGAAAAGATTGTCCCACTCTTGACCTGACAATCAACATCGGCACCTCTGTTGTTTCCCCGACTCAGACTGCAAGGAATCTGGGTGTGACCCTAGATAACAAACTGTCCTTCACTGCAAACATCGCTGCTACAACCCCCTGCTGCAGATACACGCTTTACAACATCAGGATGATACGTCCCCACCTGACCCAGAAAGCGACGCAGGTTCTGGCCCAGGCTCTCGTCATCTCACGCCTAGACTACTGCAACTCCCTCCTGGCTGGTCTACCTGCATGTGCCATCCGACCTCTGCAGCTCGTCTGGTCTTCAACCTTCCTAAATGCTGCGAATGGATCTGGCCCTTCCTACATCCAGGACATGGTTAAACCGTACACCCCAGCACGTGCACTCCGCTCTGCATCAGCCAAACAGCTCGCTGCACCCGCACTGCGAGGGGGACACAAGTTCCCATCAGCAAAAACACGTGGGTTTGCTATTCTGGCTCCAAAATGGTGGAATGAGCTCCCCATTGAAATCAGGACAGCCGATAGCTTGCACATCTTCCGGCGCAGACTGAAAACTCATCTCTTTCGACTCCACTTCGAGCGATAGAATTACTAACAAAGCACTTATATACTAATAAAGGACTGGCTTATCTAAAGCCAGTTGAGTAGCACTTGAAATGTTTTAGCTCTATGAAACCTGATGTACTTATATGATTCTGTTTTCTTCAAGTTTGTATCTTGTTGGTTGAACGCACTTATTGTAAGTCGCTTTGGATGAAAGCGTCAGCTAAATGCAATGTAATATTACAACCTTTGTTTGAAGAGTTTGATACGTTTAGGAGACAGAGCCAGCCAGACAGTGAAGGGAATATAGAAGATTTTCATAGCCGTGCCTATCTAATATTTCTTTCTTTTGGAAGGTGAATGGCCTGATAAAGAAAGCTGTGATCCCGTCTCACTTCACCCACCCAGGGGAGGTCAGTCATGTGACTCTGTGGCAGGGCAGCGAGCCTGTCAAGGTAAAGAGCCTCTCATAACCTCTTCAAGTATTGTCAGTATTTCACAATCTGTCATTTTCCTCTGGATTTTGCTACATTTCTGTGTTTTAGGAGTATGAAAACATGAAATCGGCATTGAGCGTAAAAGAATGTCCACATCTCAGCACATACAGGACTGTGGCCACTAGCACAGGTAATGCGCCCTCTGCGTCTAATTCTCCATTACATCCATGTAGTGCCTTATTTTTTAGTTATGGTTTACTTGTTGGTACCGACTCATAAAGTGCAGTTAAACACTTTTTAAAACATTATTTTGTGTAGTTTCCCCCCCCCCCCCCCCCCCCCCCCCAATTAGACATTAGGGTATAAATGTCCCCTTTGAAACCCGAGTGAGCCTTTTTCTCACATTTGTCCTGTGGGTCCAACACATGCTAACTTCCTAATTTCCCCAAAGGTTATGCTGCTATATCTGTGTTTTTTATTTTTCAAATTCAATGTTGTTTCTTATCACTAACATAGTATACAGACTGTGAAATCAAACAAAAATCTCTCCCAAGCATTTGGTATGCAGAAAATAATCCAATGAAAAACAATCCATTATAAACTGATATTAGATATTTCTAAATTCTAAAAATGCATGAAATTGTAATGATCGGGACTGATTTTTGTTCAAATGAAAAGATAAGGAGAGAATATTATTATTGATGGCAGTTGTTGTCCTCTAAGTACATCAGAGCATGGGGAAAGTACTGTGTAGCAGTCTGCTGTATATTTGACTATGACCTGTCTACAGGACAGTGGAGATGCTCCTCTCAGCTGCTGCACCTGAGTGCCGTCCTTCCTCAGTCTCCAAATGTCCTGCATCCCAACAACCGACAGAATCGCTGCCCCAGACAATCCTTGGTCGCCTATAATGTCTACAGAGGTGTGTCCGCATGCAGAGTAGATCTAGAACTGAATTCAATTTAAAAAAAGCTTCATCATCTCTGTCATTCAACTCAAAGTGTAGCTCTTACTGAAACGTGTCTCCGTATTTCAGGTTTGCCACCTTCCCTTACAGCGCCCGACAGGTGAGCCTTATAGAAACGTTATGTATCCTCATCAATAGGTTGCAGATAACTACAGTATATGTTGAGGTACGTTCAGATTCATGAAGTGTTGTCTCTCTTCTCTCACAGGTCTTCCATGTACCTCAAGATGGTTCCAGACATTGTTCCAACCAAACGCTTGCTGTCAAATTTCCCAGCTGACACTCTGCACACTTTCCGAGACAGAAACTTAGAAAGTTCCTTTGTGCCTGAGGATTCCTTCCTCTCACACACAGACACAACAAACACCAAGCAGCAGAGCGAGGAAGAAGATTCCCCAGAAGGTTTCATATGCACATATATTGTTCTAGTTTCTGAAATTATTTTTGAAACTTTCTTGTGAATATAGTGTCATGCAAAAGGTGTTTATTCAATCTTTTGGACAAAAATATAGGTTTTTTTAATTCATCAGCTAGATGATCTCCTGTCTTGATGATCTGATCTTGTCCTTTCTTCAGTAGGTTTCTCACTGATGAGATGTTTGCCCCTGGGAGAACGGAAGCAGAGAGAAACTGAATCGCGCAGCAGATTATTTGTGCCTTTTCTGAGAGACACAGACCTGAGAGGGAAAAGGTAAATTCACTTTGAACCTTCTTGGGCTCTCTTTTTCTCTCTGTCTTTGTCTGTCATTAGCTGATTTTGTTAAATACTCCGGTTGCCATTGCAGTTAAGATATCAGGAAATAAGCACTGGTGTTTGTGCAATCGTTATATGACTACAGTTTACAATGTTTAAAACTTGTTCTTTTATCTTTTTCAATATCCTCAGATACTGCAAAGAGACCGTGGAGGACAAGAGGCACCTGGGTGTTTTATCCCCTGCTTCAAAGCCTTCAGGCCTCATGCAGATGGTGCCTAAGCGTCCACAGAGTGACTCCCTCCGTAGTTTTCAGACTAATAAGGACATCAGGCACTATCAGATATGAAAGACAATGGTGACACTGTCCCCACATTCTGCCTCACTGTAGGGTGGGATGTTTATACATTTGGAACTACAGATTCAACTTTTTTTTTTTTTAAAGGTTCATTCATTCAACAGACGAAAATACTATGTTTATGACCTCCTTCACACAGATATCATAATGCAAGTTAAACTACTAATGTGGCATTCATATGGCAACCTTTGTTCAATGATGGTTACACAATGCTGGTCTTGTGTCTGCCATACGTTGCATTAGTTGCCTAATAAATGATACACAGGCTGTGTGTTTTAAACGATTCATTTATTGCAAAGCTACAAAAAAAAAAACATTACAATTAATGTGGGTACAATATAAAAATAAATACGTTCACGTTCTCTTTGATACTCAATTGAGGTGAGAAATGTTACCATGTACGACATGTAATACCAAAAAAGGCACATTATTTTTTGTTGTCTGAGTCTGGGAGATACAGATGTCCATACAGATGTGTGGTAGACACGCAGCTTCATAATTCAGTCAAACTGCCGGAGATGAAACTGCCTCTCTGTGTGTCTGACCAGGTCCCGCAGCGCCACAAACCCAAAGAGGGCCTGGATAATTCAGGAATAAATTAAACATTATATACAAATTAAACCAGTGACAATCAACCAACGCCAAGTATAGAAAACATGCTGAACATAATATTTAAGTATATGCAAAAACAATTGAAGTCAGTTTTTAAAAAGAATGCTATGGTACCTGTGTGAGTATGAATATGGCGAGAACTATGTGAACCCCCCTCTCCAAGGGTTGAATGAGAATGGCTTCATTGAAGAGCTGAAAGAGGATTAGTGGGAACTGCAGCAGGATGCTCAGCAGCCAAAAACCAGCCAGCTCCGGGACCTTTCAAACACACACGTTACATTAATCCCTGTCTGTTGGGTTACATTATGTTATTTGGCAGACGCTTTTATCCAAAGTGTAGCATATCCCTCCGAAATAAGGTCGTAGACTTTACTGATGATTTAGAATTTATTGAAACTCCAGAATCAACGTAAGAGCTTGTGCCTCTTCGGGGGGTGCTAACACTTAAACATACACTTTATTCTTTACTTTCTCCGTCTTTATATGTAGAAGATATTCCTTTTCTCCGTCATGTTGTTTCCATAGCAACAACAACTTCCTGTCAACAGCGTAAACTCACCTTCAAAATAAAAGCATCTAAATAAAACAGGAAGTTAACCTAAATTACATTTAAGACGTATATAAAACTGCAACGAAAGTAACAAACAATATAATATCCTTTTCAGTTTCACAGAACACAAATTGGGTTATTTACACAAAGAGACTCACAACATGTTAATACCATAGACATGCCTGTGGGTGAGTGTTGACCCATTTTCCCTCCAACTGTATCTTTACATTTGTGTGAGTGATGCACCACCTTTTCTTGTAGGTTCCCAGCATAGCCGAGAAAGAGTCTAATGGCCTCGATCAGAGTCATCACGATGAGAACTGTGACGAGGATGAACTTGTAGTAGTCTGGCAAGGCAGGATACTGATAGAAATGACAAATACAACAATGCAGTTAAGTAAACTGAATTTAAGTTAAAGACATTATTGTAAGTGACTTTTATGAAATTAGGAAATAGTCTGACTTGTTTAAAGTTCACTTAAAATGAATGCCTGTAAAAACAACAAATGACCGCCTGAATTTGACAACAATAAGGCCCACGAATCAGCCTTTGGGGATCATTTGTTCACTTAGCTGCTACCTCAATATTTTAAATCTGCTTTTTTTGGTCACTGATACTTTTCTCCTGGGAAGTACTACGTTTTGCGTCAAAGGTATTTAAAAAATAATGCATTACAAGGATTAATTGCTTGGTGAGCTTATAGTGTTACTTGAACTGACTTTTAGAAGAGGATGTCATGCAGTCTGACAATGTGAAACTACTACTGATGGTCAAACCGTTATCCAATTGAGTCTGGGAATTTAATGAGTTCCTCCTTAAATAGACTATTATTTGAATCATATTGGCGACCCCAATTATCACGCATTTACACAACTTGATCATTTAAAGGTGGGGTAGGTAAGTTTGGGAAACCGGCTCGAGATACACTTTTTGTTATATTCCATGGAAAGCTCTTAACATCTCGATAGCAATGAATATCTAAAGTGCTTTGACAAAAAAATCCATAAAAGAAATTCATCTGTGAAAGCCGTGGCGCTGTAAAAAGCACGACCAATCATTTTAGCCGGCTAAAGTAACTGGATGGCCTACCTGCCTGTCAGCCTTCCATCTGTGCACAAACTTATCTCGTGCCCTCATTGGTCATGTGCGCGTACGTGTGTGTTGGAGGAGGGGCTCTGTAAGGAAGTGGCAGATTTTTTCCGGCTGTGTATTTTCAAATTCTAGCGCACTGGAGCTGGTTTCTCCAAAATTACCTACCCCACCTTTAACAATTAAAGTTTATAAATGATAACATTTGTCTTTCCCATTAGCCCAATGTCTTCACCCCCTCTATTTTACTCACCTCCAACCTCACTTTTTTTTTTTTTTTATCCTTACAGTCTTTTTTTCTATGTAGATAAATGTTATCGAATCAGCAAAACATAATTTATAGTAAAGACCATGTCCGGCCCATCCTCTTTTTTTCTCTCCACATAGAGATATCATCAAACCAGAGGGAATTTCTCGATATGGCAGCAGAATTTTGCCATTTAATAAAGGTCATTTTAAATGTTATATCAAGGTCTATATTTTTCATATTCCTTACTTTTAAATAACAAACCACGTTTAGTGACCTCCCCAGTTGTTCCCCACAACAAGTGTACACAGTGCTTGTTTATTTATTTATTTGGGTGGGTTGGTGGGCGGGGGAACAAGATGATTTAGTTTTATAATTAACCTGACTTTCTCTCTGCATGGCTTACCTTGAGTTGCAGCATTACAGTTTCACTGATCCACCACAGGGGGAAGAACCACATGTTAAAGTACAGAGACATCTGGAGGTGGAGACTAGACAGAACCTTCTTGCCTGAAAAACAAAACAAAGAAACATGGATAACATACCAACCCATATTAAGCAGCAGCTACTGTAAAACTACGCGAGAGACAAATATAGCTCAACCCAGGCTGTTATTTGTAAGCTAACATAAATGCTAATGTATCTTTAGCTGGGTTTACCGTGTGGCAGAAACGTGTCATTCTCTCTGGCGACAGGCCGAGACCGACTCTGGTCGAACAACACATTCCGAGAGAAGTCTTCTAAACGTTTTCTGATGGTCTCTGACAGGTCCATGGTGTAAAATGTTTTCTGCTAAGCCCAAACATGACCAGAGGGAAAACACACCGCCCCTTCCTCAACACAATGTACGCTGCGGTCGTCTCCTTGGATACCAGAAAAAAAATCTCGCGTTCCGCTCAAATCTCGCATGAAAACCGTCTTCTCGTTCCCCTCAGTGTTTGATAAAGAGTTCCCCTTGTTCCTCAGTTTCCTCAGTTGTGTCCTTGTTTAGTCCCTTAAAATATTTTAAAGACACAATGTATCGCACAGACAGCTATTTAAATGTTCTAAACGATTAACTGTATAGCCTATATAGCCATACAACTATAACAAAATCATCACACTTTCGCCCAGGGGTTTAACATCACATTCCATGACTATAAAATACCGTGAAACTGGGTTGTAGTATTTTTGGCTGCAATGCTTACAAATCAAATATCTATGTAAATGACATCGCCAGGTTTCCCCATGATATTGGACTAATCATTTAGTCAATATCAATTCAGATTGATTGATACTTGCATCCCTATTAGAGGTAGGGGTTCACTTGGTCATTATTTTTTAAATATAGTGTTACAATTTGACAACCCACTTTAAGCAACAACTAGTGTAAAACTAAGTCAAGAAAGTGATGCTCATGGGGTTTAAATCTGGTGAGTTCCCCGATCACACAGGTGTTCATTTCAGGGGTAGGCCTATCCCCTCGATTTTTTTAAATTGTTGTTTTAATAAATCTAGTCTAGGAATCAAAAATTCCCATTTCACAATCAGTTACACTGATTTAAAGTAAAACAAAGTTTATTTCATGAATGCAAAAGTTACACAACTCACTCACTCCCACGCCACGCAACACCCATCTGATTTCCGAGAAAACGAAAGTGAACAGAGCTGTAATAAAGATGGAAGAGTGCTGTACGGAGCCAGATCCGTTATCCTGCTCGATATGCTTCGACAGATTGAAAAGCCCTGTGACTCTTCACTGTGGCCACAGCTACTGTATGGACTGCGTGAACGGATACTGGGACCAGGAGAACCACCGCGGGGTTTACAGCTGTCCCCAGTGCAGACGCACTTTCAGTCGCAGACCTGTGCTGAACAAAAACACAGTGCTGGCTGATCTGGCAGAGAAAGTGTCAGGGCCTGAACCACCCACCCGGCCTGCTGTGAAGGATGAAGTGGGCCCGGGGGATGTGGAGTGTGATTTCTGCACTGCGAGGAAGCTGAAAGCTGTCAAGTCCTGCCTGGTGTGTCTGGCTTCTTACTGTGCAACTCACTTGGAGCCCCACTATGTGTCTGAGGCTTTCAAAAGGCACACGCTGGTGGAAATCACTTCTTCCATGCAAGAGAAGATCTGCTCCAAACATGACAAGCTGCTGGAAGTCTACTGTCGCAGTGACGGCCAATGCATTTGCCTGCTGTGTGTGATGGATGAACACAAAGGTCATGACACTGTCTCCGCTGCAGCAGAGAGGAAAGACAAACAAGTAAGAATAATTATATTGGCCACACGATTGCATATTAAATATTTCAAAGTAATATTGTAAAGTATATATTTTTTTCAGAAAGAATTTGGAAAGAAAAAACTGACATATCTGAAAGGAATACAGAAGAAAGAGAAGCAGCTGCAGCAGCTAAAACAAAAAATTAAAGCACTTCAGGTGAGTTATGTTGTATTTTCTATTAAAAGTAAGAAACAAAAGAAAGAGTTTGGTGGCCTTATAATGTGGCACAAAGTCATGGGAGTTGTAGTCTTCATCATCATCCTGGATTGGATTCCTTTATTGTTCTTCAGTGAGGAGTTTTTTTTTTTTACCAGGACTCCTCTCCAAAATAAACTATAAAGTAGTTTCACAATATGCTTAAAGGGGATATGAAACATGCCGTTATCTTGATTTAAAGAATAAAGGTCTTTGCTTGGTTTGAATATTGTTGGAAACATTTCTATAAAGTAAGCACACAACTAAAAATACCCTTTTTTCCACATTATACTTCAAAATACCTGACATTATTTGTATTTGGTTTCCCTCTGCTAGTTTTCAGGAGATGCAGCGGTTGATCAAAATGAGAAAGCCTACGCTGAAATGGTCCGGATGGCGGATGAGAGGCGCTGTGCCACTAAAGATCTGATCAGAGTTCAGCAGAAGGCTGTGGTGAGTCGAGCCGAGGCGTTCGTGGACCGTCTGGAGAAGGACATCTCCAAGCTGAGAAAGGGACAGGATGACCTCAAACAGCTGTCACTCACTGAGGATCACATTCATTTCCTGCAGGTACACAGACAGTCAAACATAGATTATTCAGGGCTACAGTTCATATTGTGTTTAGCCTTTTAGGTAGATAACACTTGCACTTGCTGCTCTTTTTCAATGCACTCTGATGCCTCTTAAACTGTCACCTGATTTTGTGTAAGTATTAATATCATCCCATCACTGCCATCATTTTGAGTTGTGATCACAATGTGAATTTGCACTATCCTCCTTAATGCACTATTATATGATCTTACATTTGAATTTATTTTCTATTCTATGCTTATTTTATGTCTATTTATGTCTTTTATCGGTAATTGTGTTCTATGAGATGTCAATCCTCTACTGTGAAGCACATAGGACTGCAATTCTTATATGAAAGGGGCTATACAATTAAAGCTTATGATTATTATTATTATTATTATTATTGTTTTCATGTGTTTCTAGAGCTGCCAGGCCATCTTTGACTGTCCGGAAGCTGACCTGTCCTCTGATGTTGACATCGAACAACAAACCCCTTTTGACTTTGTCAAAAGGGCTATATCTGATTTGAGAGACAGAATGGAAAATGTTTCCATAGCTATTGCAGAAATATCTCAGACAAGTAAGAAGATATTTCCTTTAAAAATATATTTACTGGAACGATGAGATAATGTTTAATAGCCAGTTTATTAAATGTTCTGCTGTCATGTTTTTTTACGTTTAGTTCAAGCTGATCCTGACCCTCAGACAAGACAGGAGCTCTCCCTTTGTGAGTCCTGGCATTTTCTACATGAACTGCTGTGCCTTCCTTACAAGTTATAATAAACACACTGAATTATATTAACTTCTACATTTCAGATTCCAGCAGCCTCAGTTTGGATCCCAACACAGCATTTGAAAACCTTTTGCTCTCTGAGGGAAACCGCAAAGTAACCTGGATTAAACAAGCTCAGAGGTATCCCTTGCACCCAGAGAGGTTTACCCAATATGATCAGGTGTTGTGCACTGAAGGCTTATCTGGAGTCTGCTACTGGGAGGTTGAGTGGCGGGGGAGCAGGGTTGAGGTCGCTGTGTGCTATAAAGGGGCAGATTTGGAGGAAAGTGGCTTTGGGGGTATAGCAAGTCACTCCTGGTGCATTTCTCTTTCAAATGTTGGTTGCGCCTATTGGCACGGTGGAATCAAAACCAAAATACCCATTAACTGCTCCTCTACTGTAGGTGTGTATCTGAACCACAAGGCAGGGACTCTGTCCTTCTACAGCGTGTCTGACTGTGGGGAAATAACGCTCCTTCACAGAGTCAGCACCACATTCTCCCAGCCTCTGTACCCCGGCCTCATGGTCTCCAGAAGGGCCTCAGCCAGGATAGTGTGTGCAAAATAAATCCACTGCCAAGGTGTGCTCGAGTGAAGTAAGGCAGTATGTTCATTCTGCGTTTGTATTAAAGACGAGTGCTAAAAATATGTTCATTTCAATTATATATTGTCTGTAGCTTATTATCTGATTCTATTCTTTATTATGGTTTTTGTTAGAAAAAAAGGGTGAAGATAATGATGAGACAGATGTGAGGTTTTGGTGTGTATCATGTTTCTCATCCTGTAATGGAAATTGTAAACTCATCATGCATGTTAAGTTATTAAGTAGAACAATTCTATATAAATGTAATAGATACTCAAACTCCTCTTGCTTTGTCATGCATTTAATGTTTTTAATCAATAAAAAATATGTTTCAGAGAAATGCTTCATTTTATTCTAACAAATAATGTTAAAACATAGTTTCAATAAAAAAAGCTATTTTACAATATGAAAATTCATTGTGTCAAAAAGTTTAGTTTTGTCAAGTACATTTCATATTTATGGCAACATTTGTATGTAGGCCATTTGTATAGTATGTAAGTAAAGTTGTACTACAATCAGATACGTACATGGAGATTCAAACAAGAAACATAATTGTAGGTGATTCATTTATTTTTATTTTGTTTGTAAAAACAAAATTCAATCTTTTATCATATGCTCAGGGGCTAAGAGTATGTCTTTTTTTCAGATTCCTTCAAAAATACTATACAGACAATGGATGTTTTTCACATAAATACAGTGTTGTTAAACTAGGGCTAAAATATCCACCCCTTCATTCTTTGAATAGAAGTATAAAGTATGATAACATTGAGAAAAAGGCCACTCATGTAAAGTACGAGTAGACTTTGAGACCTCTTTGACAGTAGGTTATGTACTGTAGGTTACTGCTCTCACACTGACACTCCCACAGAACAGTCAGTGAGAACACTCCAATAGTAGGCTTGTTTGAGACGCGTTGCGGCTCGCCTCGAAAGTAGACGAGAATAGCCGATCGCAGCCGGGGGAGGTCTCAAAAAGCTGGCCTGAAGTCGGACAGCTCGGAGTCGGCTTCGTCTTCTTCTTCTTCTCTCGGTTTTTTGGCGGATTGCAAACAACTTTAAGGTGCATACCGCCACCTCCGGAGTCGGCTTGACTCGGTTTGCATTTATAAAGAATGCACACGTGTTTAATCGTTAATGTCAGATATGTTCAGGTCGTTTTCTCCACCGTGACCTATTGAAAACTCCCTCCGACACAAGGTGCAGAAGACCCGAGACAGATCTCCACTCACGGGCTTTACCCAACTGTGTTTTTCTTCCCACTGTTTGTTGTAAGACACAAGTCTTTTCCTTTTAGAAGGGCCAGGGCCCAGAACCACATCCTCTCTCTCTTCTCCTCTTTCATTATCACCTCCTCCACCGGCAGGGCTCATTTTCCCACACGACTGAACAGACTGACATGCCACACAAACAATGATGCCGCACCCGCGGCCCACCGGAGAAAATCTCTCTCTCTCACACACACACACACACACA